GCTGCCTTTTCTTCAAAGTTGCCTTGGGGAGATTGCATGGGTCATGGGTTCTTTCTTTCAATTCACTGCTGCTACAGGTAAACAAAAAATATAGCCAGAAGGCACCAAGGTAGCTCAGCAGGTAAGGGTCCTTGCTTCTAAAACTGATGGCCTGAATTATTTCCCAGAGTCCACAGGGTGGAAGAAGAGAACTGGCGCCCACAAGCTTTCCTCTGAATGCCACCAGCACATAGGCACATGCACACATAAACATATACATACATGCATACACATGTGCATCTATACATCACCCATTTCCTGCTACCTTTGCCGGTATCTGCAGCAAGCTTTCTTCTAAACTAGCAGCAGCCTCAGCTCCCCTTTGGTTCTCACAATCCAGCAGCAGCCAGGCTCAACTCTTCCTTGCTACTGGCATAGAAAGCTTGTTATCCTTTGACAAGGGGGAACTCTCTCTCTGAGACTTCTGCCATTCTCATTCTCTCAGAAAGAAAAGTGGTCTAGAGGGGACACACACACACACACACGCACGCACGCACACACACACACACACACACACACACACACACGTGTGCCCGCATGCACACACCTCAGAAAATGAACCAAAAGTCCCTTGAAGCTCTGGAATTTCTTTTTCTCATGGTGGGCCATATCTAAAACATCTGAATTTTCAATCGTTTGGGGGGTCAAAGGAAAATCTAGCCCTCATAGGACTTTTTAGCTCCCTGGGCATTGGGAGAAAGGATTCGTTTCAAGGCAGAGATGATTGTTTTGTGTTTCAACTGTAACTGGTGGCCCAGAAACCACAGCCATCAAATCCAGATGCTCCACCAAGTCATTCCTATTGCAGCTACAAATTAGGTCTAATGTTCACAGTGATGAGTTGCGGGGGGGTGATAAGCCACAGTGATAAGTTGGTGGGGGTGATAAGTTCAGTGACTGAACTTCAGTGACCACAGGAGCCCTTCTCTTACAAAGCTTTTCTGAGACAACGAAGAGGAGCCACTATCTGTGGCAGATCTGTAGCCTAGGACTGTAGATGTACAATACCCAGACACATTGTGTCCTCCGGCCAGACACCTGAGCTACCTTTTTGGTTGTGGCAAGACACCTCACAGGACCTCATGTGACACCACATGTGGAAAAGTGTAACAGAAAATTCACTGGGTTTATGACAGCCTGGCTATGTCCAAATGCTCAGGCCTCATCCGAGAGCCTAAGTAGGAACACAGTCAGTGAGTTAAATAGATTTGGAGACATATTGTCCTGGCACAAAAACCTGTGTGAGGGCTGGAGCTCTTTCCCATGACTTATTTCCTAGCAAAACTACAGGTGATTACCCAGTCTTTTCAGAATATGTCATGTACCTTTAAAAAAAATGGTCCAAATATGTTTGCTTGTTATAGAAAAATAGAGAACGCAAACCAGCAAAAAGAAAGTTGTAGATTTCTGTGATTTCCTCATCTACAGTAACAACTTCAACAGGCTCGTGTTGGTATTTTGGACTAGATCATAGGCTGACTGTCTTACATTGGCAGACAGTTAGCAGAACCCCTGGCCTCTACTCCCTGGGTACAGTGAGTAGACTCTTTCTCATTTTCCACAACCAAAATGTGTCACCAGACACAAAAGTCATTAGGTAAAAGCATGCTCACTGACCACCAGAGTCTAGACAGAAACAGTGATGCCATTTTTGCCCCTCCCCGTACCCCTCCCAGCCTACAACAATCTAGAGTAGAGCTGCTATTTTGTATTTTTATTTTCCCTCAACAGTTTCTCAACCACATCTGCTCTATGACATCAGCCTCATGGCTCTGTTTTGCTCCATTGCACATCTCTGCCATAGTTTATTTAATATCCAGTGATGGACATTATGTCCAAGGACAATGTAGTAGTCATGATTCTCTAGAGGAACAGAAATGACAGAATGAATGAGTATATATGTACATGTACATATATAACATATATGACCTGAGTTTAGTCCTCAGAGTCCACTTGGTGGAATACTAGAACTGGCTCCCACAAGTTGTCCTCTGGCTTCTGCATGCTCACTGTGACACACATGCACCCCCCCACATAAACAGATGTATGTGCACATATGTACATGTATGGGAATTTTTAGAGTGGTTTACAGTGGTCTCACTAGCCTAGCAATGGCTGTTTTAAGAGCCCAGTGGTTATTTAGTCCTTGAGTCTGGATGTCTCAGCTGGTCTTCAGTGTACTGCTGGGATCAGACAAAAAGCACCTTACCCTGAGTGCTCCCATTTGATCTTCAGACTCCATTTTAGCTGTAGGGTGAAACAAAGTTCAGGTTCCCAAGCCCTAGAGGATCTGGGAACCTTCCAGTAGCTGACCCACCTCCTTCTTAAACCATAGAAATAGTTGTTACGCATCTTTAGTTCTCTAGAAACATAGCAGTTCCTAACAGCAGAAGGAACAAAGGAATCTGATTGGTTGTATGTCAACTGACAATGATGGAACATTCGAGGAAGCCCCTAATCTCTAAATCCCGATTAGTGAAAATTGTAGCTGTGTCCTGGCAACAAACGTTTGTGATTTTTGTACTTAAAAACTGGCTTCAAGTGACATTTGGGGTAGCAGTTCAGCGTGAGAGTCTGCTCCGCCGACCTGATTGATCAGTCCCCCCTCTCCTTCCCTCCTTCTTTTGTGCTGCCCTGCATTCAGTCTTGCCTTGCATAACCACTTGTGCCTGCTTGGGTAGACTTGGAGCCTCGGACCACAACATTTCATTGGAATCCTAAAAATTACGTTCCATACCAGCAAAGGAATTCCTCAGCAGTGGAAGAGTGAGAGCAAGCAGTCAAAACTCAAAAGGTCCCTTGTTCTTTTTTTGTAGGTTATTACCAGAAAGCAGGACCCACATTTACTATAGGTCTCCTGATATTAAACGCTCAGGATTTAGGACAGGTCTTTCCACCGCAAATAGTCCGATCAGGAAAATCCCTCACAGGGGTGCTCTGCTGCTTACAGTTTGGTTGATCTCAGAGGTAGCCAAAGTGACCACCAAGAAAAACGTCACAGTCAGTTACAGCATTAAAACACAGACACATATTTTCAGACTTATTTTTATTTTTGTTCAAGAATGTTTTGCCTGCATGCATGTGTGTACCCTGTGCATAGATGGTCTGATCCCCTGGAACTGGAGTTACAGACGCCAAGGTTTGAGCCACCCTGTGAGTGTCAGGAATCAAATCTGGGTCCTCTGAGGAGCTTCCGATGCTCTTAACCTCTGACCCATTTCTCTCTAGAGTCATAAGAAGAACTTCTAATTTTCTTACATGGTGGAAGGGAGGTTAGCATGGCTCATAGGGATAAGCAAGTACACCCTTTTACTGCTTTCTGCCTCCAAAGGTCCTTGGGAGCCTGAAGCCGGGAAGACTCCTTAGTCAAAACCTGCTGCTCCCTCCTTCTGCTCTCAGGAGGGCAGTGAGAACCTGAGTGGAACCTGCTGGGGAGTTTGTGGCTAGGAGTCAAGAATAGGAAGTCAGAAGAACATCAAAAAAAAAATCCAGGAGAAGAGAAACAACTAAAGATGGGCAGTGAAAATGGAAGCGAAGGATGAGGAATCCTGGGAAGTAAAGGGCAAAGGAGTTGGGAAGGGGTGAGTTTAGACTGAGTGGATGGTGAGAGAAGATCAAGGTGGCTCGCTCTCTGGTAGGATGGCAACATCTCCATTGCGCACACCCTCATTATAAGCTCAGCACACTTGTTGCCCATGGCCTGGGTACCTGGGCGAGGGGACATATCAGGGTGGGCTCTTAAGGGTTGGGCACGTTGCAGAAAACAGACGGTTGAAGTGAGGAAAGACACGGAATAGAAATGGAGGACTGAACAGAAGTTGCCGGCAGAACAAGAGTCACCAGAGATCCTGAGTTTGAGGTCACAAGGACTCTTGCACGAGAGGCCAGAATGACTTCATTAGGACAAGCCATCTGAGGAGTGCCTAGTCATCAGGCAAGCAAAACTGACCTTTTCAGGTTTGCTCTTAGAAACAATGCTGGATGGATCACTGTTGGAGCACGTTATTAGCACATATCCTTCACTTTTCTAAGACGGAACATTGAAAACGGAATTGCAGAGTAGAAGTCAACAGAGCTCTGACGACTTCTGATATGTACTGTCCAAACGCTGGCTAAGAAATCGTTAGTAATAATTTGCTGTTTTATTATGTAGTCAGCAGAGATAACAGATACCTTTTCTGTTAGTTCACCAGCATGCCGTATGCTCTTCCCATTTCTATGGGAAATAAGGCTCGCCAAGGTTCACAGGGTAGTAGAGAAGAATCAAAGCCCGTGGTTTTCTGACTGTGAATCCCATATTCTTTTAACTGGTGATGCCACTCCCTTTATCAGAACTAGGGCACATAACTATTATGAGATGTAGGCAACCTCGTTGCTCAGATGTTAAAAGCCAAAACTTGGAAAGTTCTTATTAATCTGGTCTCTGCTTATATCTCCATCTTCCCTTATTCAGAATGGATAGTTCCTTTCAGCATATAGTCTTAACTGTTTCATTTGAAAATAATAAAAAGTTGTCTGCTCCGTTACCCCAGGGTCTTTGGATGCTCTATGCCTTTTCTTCTCCGCCATCTTCGTCTGGTGACTTCTGCTCTTCCTTCAGACTGAATTTAAATGCCACTCCCTTGTGACTCTTAAGTTCTGTTGTATGAGACCCCATTGTTTCTGTTTGAGTTTGTTTCTGATCTGCTCTCTAAAAGTTCATTTGTTCAAGTCTTCATCCAAATGCACTGGTACCCTGTGGAAGTGGTTAGACCAAGAGGGTTCTGACCTTATCCACGGAGTGATCAAGTGATGCTCGCAGCATAATTTGTCATTGGGAGGAGGGGAAACTTTTGAAGGTGGGGCCTCATTGGAGCGATTGGGTCACAGCGAAAAGCCAATGAGAAGGGCATTTTGCCTCCTGCTTCCCACTGCCACCTTGCTGTGCCGTGGTGTGCCCAC